GTCTCATTGCTATATGTTTATCAATAAAACTTTGAAAAGAAAAAAAAAATAAAAATAATTTAAAAAAATAAATAAATAAAAAGGGTTGAGGTTGTGATTCCTTACAGAGCAGTCATCTAGAATAGGGGACACTGGGTTCCATTTCCAGTACGCAAAGAGAGAAGAGACAGAAGAGCAGCGGGAAAATTTAGTGGCAGTGGCAGGAAAGATCTGGGCCGATTATATGATAGACTGTGTCACTGATTAATACCTAGAATTGTTGGCTTGTGAAGTGTTCTGAGTCCAGTTCTTCTATTCGGAAGAATTTTCAAAGTCTTGTGCCCTTATCCCAAACTCAGTAGTAACTTGACCTTCTGAGATAGTAATTTTATTTATTTTTTTGTGATAGTAATTTTAAAATGCCATGGATATTGCTAGACACATTTGAAGAATGCTACGATCTATGGATTTATCTGGTGTCTTTGAAGATGAACTTTTATGTATGCAATTTTGTTAAAAGACAGGTTTGTGGAATCCAGAATCTTTGAAATGAAATCAATCTAAAACTGAAAATTTCCTGGCATATCTGTTAGTTTTTCAGCTAATTGTTTTGGATCATCAAGTAAGAGCATCTGAATTCAAAGTATAAGCTGTCTTCCAAGCCCCACACAGACTTGTCCTAAGGGTGTATTTTTCACTAAGCGGTTTTGTGTTTCAGGAAACAAGCTAGGTGAGGGGTGCATTACGCCATGGAAGCGTGTTGCTGGTAACATTTCTGGTCGTGTAAAAGAAGATGAGCTTTGACAGTTGAAGAAGTTTTACATTGCAAAGTGTTAGGAAAGAAGCTGTGGTTGTACAGCCATCACAAAGAAGCCAGTGTTGTGTACAATTAGAAGCAGTGCTGGGAAAATAAAAGTTACCTAATTGGAGCAGCTGCCAGTGCCACAAAATCCGTTAGAACAAGGCGTGCAGAAACGGAAGAAGTGGAACATTGATTAAGTGTTTTTTTTTTTTTTTTTAACCAAAGAAGATGGAATCTAGGGTGTCCTTTCTCAAAATTAAAGAGACGGTGCTGGTGGAGCTGTTCCACCCATGCTACAGTGGATGCACATAGCTCTTTGTTGGCTTGAGAGGCAGGTCGCCTAGCATTGTCCCAGCAGCTGAGCACCAGGTACCTGCAGATGGGCCTGTGCATTCTCCAGGAGTAGCAACACCCGTGTGGTGAGGGGATGAGCCGGGCCCATTAGGCGCAGCTTGTTTTAGCTCTCGTGGCTGGTCAGTGCCCTGCCCAGATACATACACCTTTGCTTGGATGGGCTGTGAGTTTTAATGCACCTGTTTTTATTAACACAAGATGTTAGCTTTGAGTTTTCTTATGAAAAATTGAAATTTGATATCTTAAGATTTAGCGAAGACAAAGTTTGGGGCTTTTTTTTGAGACAGGGTCTCAGTGTGTAGTGCAGGCTGGCCTTGAACTCACTTATGTAGCCCAGGCTGAGCTCAAACTCCTGTCGGTCCTCTTGCTTCAGCTTTCCCAGTGCTGGGATTACAGGTGTTTTGCCATCACGCATGACGAAAGTCTTTTGATGTTGTGCTGCCCTCCAGGCATATTTGAATCAGCAGCATCATGTTGAGTTGTCTGTGAAGAATTTATGAAAGCTGGCTGTGTCTAGCAAAAGCCCCACATGGTAGGAAATACACTCGGATCCTTTTTCAGAGTAGGCTAAAGGCTGATAGTCAAGGAAACATTGCCCCCATTCTCTGGTGATCAGCAAATGGAAGAGGAACTATAGCTGAGATTCACTGCCATAGATTGTTAATTTGGGGAATATTCAGTTCTTTAGTGTTAACTGATAGGGTTAGCAGTTGAGGGCATAGGGAGATCTGTGTTGGGTGCTTCATTTTTTGTTTTTTTAATTTTGTGTTTTTGTAGACTCCAAATCTTGAACGCCAAAAAATGACTACAGAAAAAAAAGCAAAACTGAAAACAGATAGTGGAAGATCATTCCAAGAGGCCTGGACAGAATCATTTGGAGTGATCGAACGCAATGGAAAAGCATTATGTATTCTGTGTAGTAAAAGTGTTGTGTGTCGCACATCAAGTGTCAGACGGCACTTTGACACCAACCACAAAAGTGTTGCTGAACTTGGTGAAACCGAGAGGAGAGAGTTTCTTGCAGAGAAACTGAAGAGGTGTCATTTCCAGTATGTTAGCTTTTGCAGCTGTCTTTCTAAAGCCAACCACCTGGCAGCTGCCAGCTTTCAGATCTCACTGAGCGTAGTAAAGCACGGTAAGCCCCTCTCTGACGGGGATCTTATCAAGATGGCCATGTTGTCCGGCAGCGAGTCCCTTTTTCATGATTTCCCAAACAAGGATAAAATTATACAGCGCATCTCTGAGATGCCTCTGAGCAGAAATACTGTTAAAGATCGAGTCCTGCGCATGGCCAGTGATGTTAGCCAGCAGCTCGCCGCTGACCTGCGAAAGGCAGCCTGCTACTCCATGTGCTTGGATGGAAGCACAGATACCAATGACCACGTCAGCCTTGCAGTAATTTTGCGTTACGCTGCTGGTGACACCATGAGGGAAGAGCTGGTGAAGCTGGTGTCTTTGCCTGGAAGAACACAAGGGGTGGATATCTATAATGCTGTGATGGAGGCTTTTTTGTCACAAGGTATAAGACCAGAAAAAGTGGTTTCAATTACTAGTGACGGGGCGCCTTGCATGGTGGGGGCAACATCCGGTTTCATAGAGTTCTTTGTCAAAGAAGCAAAACACCCAGTCATTCAGTTCCATTGTATTATCCATCAGGAAATGCTCTGTGCTGGGGAAAGCAGCAAAACGTTAGACAGTATTCTCAGAGACATCAGCAAGATGGTGAGTTACATCATGGCTCACGCCCTTAATTTTGAACAGTTTCAAGCGCTGCTTGCTGAGGTTCGGGCGCAGTATAATGCGTTACTTGTGTACAGTAATGTCTGGTGGCCAAGCAGAGGACGAGTCCTGGAGAAATTTGTGGCCTGCTTGGATGAGATTAGGCTTTTTATGAATGAAGAAGGGCAGCAGTACCCACAGCTTACTGATACGGCCTGGCTTAATAACCTCATGTTTTTTACAGATTTTATACTACACTTCAATATACTGAACAAAAAACTGCGAACTGTAGGGAAAACAGCAGAAAGGGTGTTTGGTGATATCAAAACATTTGAGAGAAAACTACAGGTTTTTGAAAGAGACCTAGAAAATGGGCAGCTAAAGTATTTTCCAAGTCTAAAAATGCATTTAGAAAATTGTACATTTACAGACAGCCCTGTAAACTGTCAGGAAATCTACAAGGAATTTTCTAGCATTGTAGCAGCTGCAAAGAAGAATTTCAGCAACAGATTCTTACAGTTCCGTAGGATGGAGACAACCCTGGGTTTTCTTACTTCTCCAGATAGAGCCAAATTTGAAGAACTTGATCTTTCGTGCTTACATTGGTTAGATTGTGGAAATCTGGAAATGGAGCTGCTAGAATTTCAAGAAAGCTCTATCTGGAAAAATAAATTCTGTGACTTACGCGCAACACTTGAGAAGATGGAAAAGACGGAGTGTGAGGGAGTGACCGAGGACGGCACGGTTGGCAGCTTTGAAAATGAAATCCTCAAAGTGTGGAATTCTCTGCCAGATAACTTTAAGTCAATGAAAGCACTTGGGGTTGCTTTTCTTTCTTTGTTTGGATCTTCTTATGCTTGTGAGCAGCTGTTTTCAGCTTTGAATTTTATCAAATCTGATAGAAGAAACAGACTGACAGATGATCTGAGTGCTGCGTATGTCGCTCTCAAACTAACGAAGTATGAGCCAAGGTTTGAC